TGTTGCCTGATCTATATTTCTTTCGTCATGCATTTTTCTCCTTTCCCCTGTATTCAGTTGCCAAAACTTTATAGAGTGGCAAAACAGCTGCAGGCTCTCCTCTCCACCTCCTACTCATCATTCTCCTCATCATCCTCCCTTCTTCCTCCTCTGTTCAAATTCTCAACCCCCTTCTGCACTGGGATTCAGGCTCAGGTCCCAGTCAGCTTTTTTTCTTCTCTTAAGCTGAAAAATCCCCCCTGATTATTTCCCCTTTTCCTTCTCAGTTCTCTGCACTCAAGATGACCCCTTCCACGAGCAAAACATGCCCGGAGGTGATACTTTGCAGCTTACTTATTTGGTGGGAAAAGCAACTCCAGTTATAAATTTAAAATGAGCATGAATACTTTAATTCGGAGACGTTAATACCTATTAGGGCTGCAACTAACGATTATTTTGCAAATCGAATAATCTGTTGATTATTTTTTCAATTGATCCGATTAATAATCGGATAGCAAAAGAAGGCTGTTACGAAAAGACTGAGAGACGGAAACGTTTTTTTTTTCAATCTTAAATGGAAAATGTTTTTCTTTTTTTTTCTTAACTTTTGATATAATTACTGCTCTCAGTGTGCTGTTCTGTTAGCTAAAGGCATGTCTTACTGTCTCTATACTCCTGTTAATGATTCATATATTACACAATTAGTTAACGATTATTTCAATAATCGATTAACCACAAAGAATCTGATTGTTTCAGCCCTAATAACTAAAAAAAACAACCCTTTTTCTAATATTATACAATAAATTCTGAATGTTTTTAAAATAAAAAATAATAGAAATATAAATGTATTTACTCTTTTTAATCCATACTGAGTCAAGGATTCAGAGTCAAATATGTTCATACAGTCCCACATATATTTGGTTATATTTGCCTTAGAAAGTTTAAAAAAAAAGACCCAAAGACAACAATTAATTCACATTTCTACTAGACGTAAAGGCTCATGAACTTGTTTCATACATCTGATAATAAATATGACTCGACCTAGATTTACCAATGTTCTTTCTCACTTCTGAATGTCAGAATAATACTCCTTTAAATGTAACAAGGTCATTTTGTAAAAAAAAACTTAAGTTTCTAAAGACCACTGGGCACATATCAATATTATATGGTAGATCTGTTATCTGGAATGTTCTTATGACTTTTAAAACATGGTTTGTTCTTTTTGAGTTAACTTTTAGGCCATGTTGATAAAAAAATATTTTTAAATTTGGATAATGAAACACTCTGACCAGGGTAATTCAGCTTCTTTAATCTTTGATATGAGGTTCAGATACCTCATGTTTCCTCTTTTTTGGTGTGCAGCACTGCTAAAAATTGGTTGTTGGTTAAAAAAAAGGAGATTTGGACGTACTCGTTTAATTATTTCCCTTCTCCACTAAAACCATGCAATATCTGTAGCCCTGGGAAAACAGTTTTTGTTTTTGTATTGTATTCTTCAGGTGATGCACCTTTAAAACAAGAAATCAAGAAATTTCTTTTTTCTTCTTCTGTTTTTCTGCTCTACTTACATTGCAGTGTCCATATAAACTGTAAAACTCCCTGCATAATTATAATAAAGCAATTTATATGCATGAAACAAGTGGAGCAGTATGGCAATTGCCATACCGCTACACTTGTGAAAGTAAAATCTGTTGGGCTCCTTTTGGCATCAAGACAATTATTCTTATTGCCACATAGCCAGACAGGACACTGTAAAAAAACAACAACAAAAAAAAAAAACAAAAAAAAAAAACAAGAAATCACATTTAACAAGGGTAGTTTAATCATTTTTTCAATAACTGTTTATACAGTAAGTTGAAGTCTGGTAGAAATACTTGATAGCAGGGTCTAGACTGGTCATTTGTGGCCTAACATAAATTTCTTAAAATAATTAATAAGACTGTCGATCATCCCTGATCCCCCTCAAGGCTGTTTCCTCTCCCTGTCCTTTCACTTCTATAACAGTGGATGCTGATGCTCTCTGAAGCAGGGGGAGGCTCAGTGGTGTTAACTAAATCCAAACGTCACGTATTGCATTAACAAATGTTGAGACACATAAAACATATTACCACAACAAGTAAAAATAGCTGCTGTGAAGTTCTCTGAAATAATAAACTCCAGAAACCATGGTAAGAGTTCAACACAAGATGTTCACTTTTCCTTCTAGACGAGGGGTCGGCAACCCAAACTGCATAAAGAGCCATATTGGACAAAAAAACAACACAAAATAAATCTGTCTGGAGCCGCAAAAATGTAAAAGTCTTATATATGCCTCATATGGCAACACGGGGCCATTATCCCGTTTATTATCCCACTATAGAAAAGGACTATGTGGGCTTAAATATATAATAAGCATTCATGATTAAATGTTTATCCTGGAGCAAATGTCACAGCAGCATGGGGTGAGGAAGGAGCAGTGAACGCTCTCACCGTGTGGAATTCATCACGCACTGCTTCACCGCCTTTCACCACGCGGTTTAGGTTTTTGTTGCATTGATTAAATTATAGAAACAAAATACGGTAAAGAAATCTTTCTATGGTGGACGTGTTTCAGTTGGGAGGAGCTGATTGAGTCATGAGGAACCAAGCAGGAACTGACATCCATCAGAGCAGAGCTATCTAACCCTGAAATCCCACATCCTCCGTCACTGGCGTTCCTTGATGTGAGTTCTATTGTTAGGATTTGGGGAAAAAATGGAAGAAAGTTCCCATCACTGCATCAGAGCGCTACCTGTTTGATCTGTGGACGGTTTTCCATCCTTGCAACAAAACTAGCAGCAGTAGTGGAGTTTGGAGATGCAATCCACTTCTTAAATCTTTCTTTGCGCTCCTCTAATTTATCCATAAGTTCTGCAATCGCACCTTTTCTCTCCCTTCCAGCTTGGTGGTCGGCTGCATATTTAGCAGCCTTCCCTGGAAATGCTTTTCTAAATGTATTTTTTTTTTTTTTTACAACCTCTTATTACAAAGCAAAAATGCAGGCAATCCTTCTGCATTGATAATGAAAGCAAATTATTCGGTATATTTGAATCTTCTTTTCTTATCAGCTATTTTCCTTTTTTCCCTTTGGGATCATGGGAGACACACCTGCAGCTTTGTTTGCCTGGCACCGTGCCCTGCTGGTTGCAAGTTATGACCACTAAACTGTGTGGCTATGACGCAAATAATGTTTAAATTTATTTATTATACAAATGCTTACAGCTTTGGAAAACATAATTTTCCTTTGACCTCCTGCACACCATATAAAAAAAAAAAAAAAATAGATTTTCATAAATTTTTGAAAAGCTCCAGGAAACCGCAAGGGGGACGCAAAAGAGCCACATGCGGCTCTGGAGCCACGGGTTGCCGACCCCCGTTCTAGACTCATGAGGAAAAACTCTTCCATGTCTGTCCACTGTCAGTCAATAATCCTTATGTATTTTTGTCAATCAGCATCAAGTAGCCAGCTTTACGACCCACCCCTTCTCCAGAGACCCTAGAAGTGACGTACTTTGGCGTGTTATCCAGTCAGGTCTCTACTTTCTCTCTGCTTACTTCAATAAGCCGAGGCTCAAACCTCAAAAGGGAGTTCTCATACAGACTGACAGGCAGCGTCCTGCTGCCCCAGAGTAGAGCTGAAATCGGATCTTAGAGCCGAATTAACAGCTGATTAATGTGTAACAAACTCATACTCAAATTCAATGAGAAATTGCCACTGTTCACTGCACCTTCAGACAACAGTGGGCCAGGTCCTCTGCTTTAGAAAGAACACACTCCCATACTCCTCACCCATTATTACTCTAGTCATCACCTTGGACTCTCCAGGCTTGCTGGGCACCATCGACCCTTGGGACCTCAAATAAGAGGTAAACATCACCTCCATCACAAAAAAAGGGACAGCTGGGATGGACTCTCTCTAGCAACTTAAGAAGTTCAATTATAGTTAGTGATGGTCCATTTCTACTACATCACTGAGTCCATCTTCTCCTCTTCCATCACCATCTGGTATGCTTCTGCTACCACCAATGAAAAGTGCAGGTTGCAGCATATAATTTGCTCTGCAGTACACTTTCAGAAGGCAAAGTTGGCCCAGTAAGATTGCAGCTGTTCCCTCCTTATCTAGACACAAAGTGTTGTAGACTCTCCATTCTAGCAGAGGGCGTTGTTCTATCGGAATCAAATCCTCCCACCATAAAAAAACAGCTTCTTTTCATCTGCTAGTAGCCTCATTAAAAAGGCCTAGGTCTCTGACTGGCACTTTTCTCTTTGGAGAATTAAGTTAACTTCTCAGCAGATGTGTATACGTATGTTTTTGAGCTGATTTTCTGTTGATTATTTTTACTGTTTGCCATGGTTCCTAATCTAGTCCAATAATATTTCTATACTACTTACATTTTTTTTATTTCACATCATATATTTCCAAATGTATTTATGTCAACTGTATGTTTGCTTGCCTATGTGTATCACCTTATCATTAAAACAAATTAATCATGCATGTAAAACATTACAAGGCAGAAAGCTTTTTGTAATATTTGAAATATTTGCCAAATACGATACAGTTAAGTCACAAGAATTCCTATATTGTCTTATAATCTTTGAGACCCACAGTGTGTTTAGGCTGCACAAAGCTTGGTTCTAAGCAGCAATACCAGCAGCATTCCACCATTCATGCGCTCGCAGCTTGGCAACCAAAAGGGTTGCCCCACTACCCTATATCCTTGTGAAAAGGAACCTGTCGCCTTTTCAGTGAGGCCTCCATTACAGAACCACATTCAATTCTATACAAAGTCTTTGCAGACTTCCTAAAACATCAGCACATGCTCTTTCAGCAACAACTTTTCCATGTCAGGTTTTTGGATAGAAATGTAACAAGTACCCTGGGCAGTTGTAGTTCCCTCTTTCAAAATTGCCCAGAAATGAAGCACATGAGCTGCAAGGTAGTTTTTAAATACATTTGCTCAAGGGGAAGTATTTCTTGGTTGCATTTTAAAGTGTGCATTTACCATATCGAGCTCCTGGGAGACTTGGCGTTTTCTTAGCTCTTCCATGCGGTCGCTGACGTCACTGAAGCAGGTATTGTAGTACTCAGAGTACTCCTGTGCAAGGTCATCTATGTTTCCCAGAGAACCATCCTAAAGAGAAAAGGACAGATGATGGGTTAGTATGGTAACCAAAATATCCTGGGAAACAGTTCAATTCCAATAAGTTAATAATCTGAATATTTCATTAACTGGACATTAAATAAGATAATTATTATGCATCTGAGCCGTTCTACGTGATTCTATTAATCTGCATAAAAAGTATAACGATAATATACATTGAACTGTTCCAATTGTTTTCTCCACTCAGCTATGAGACCTACAAGCCAAAACACCCAAACATACCCTTAAATAAAGATTATCACCATATTCAGCTGTACTTATCTAACTCCATTCTGGATCTCAGACAAAGGGAAGGTTTGTTCCTTGGTTTTGTCTTTGTGCGGCTTGTTTCAAGGTATGCCCTTTACCTCCTCAGACTTAACTCTGAACCAAACACATTTTTCCTGCTGGCTTTAGTTTAGATCCACACAGTTCCTGCCTTTGTGGCGAAAGGCGTGTTTGGGAAAGAGGGGGGAAGCAGTGTTCAAAACAGTAAAGACATTACTTGGGTGAAAGAAACACTCACGGATTACAATGAGCTAGTGTAAAAGGTTTTGACATGAAGCAACGTTTCTAAATAACTTGGATTTCACTGGCATTTGTTGCATCATGTTCTTGGAATGGAACACAGATTTTTAGATTGCGGTAGGTAGTTATTACTAGAGTATAGATTTACCTATACTTTAGGTAGACATGCACACATCGGATTGGCATGTTGGTAGCACTGTAGTCTTGCAGCAAGTAGGTACAGGGTTTAAAATAAGGCCTTTGGTCTCTCTACACAACTTTGTAGGTTCTTAACACTCCTTGTTTCCATAGGACCTTCTGAGTGCAATTGTTTATTTAAAAAAAATATAATACATAATATAAATATGGGACAGCATATGAGTAATATAAAAAAGCTCCAGGTTATTTGACAGAAGCAGCTTTTTGTTGTGTCTTATGGCACTACTGGACATTATTATAAAAATAAGTAGACAGCATTAGAACAGATAAAGGAAAGACATGCAGGATAGGGCTCAGTGGGTCAGAGTTTAAACTTAGGATTGCATTTCTAAAGGACTGAGGCTTTGATATATGGTTTGTGTGCTACTGCTGCTCAATGCATGACCAACATGAAAGTATATGCTATGTCAATTATGTCAATTACTATGTCAAAAATACTAAAATATTTTATATACTAAATATATATATATATATATACTAAAATACTATGTCAATTTTGTGCTATTGGGTCTATAGAAAAAAAAAAGTTATAAACTTTTTTAGTTTTGATGAATGGCTAGAAATGTACTGATCTGCATTTTCCATTGCAAAAGAAATTGCTGCAGAAATTGCAGCAATTCATGCTTTGGATTCCATCTGGTTAGCATCCAGTCAAAGCTTTACTTCAATTGTTGCCAGCATTCTAGCTTTGGTGATGTGTTTTAGTTTGTATGGTTTACTTAATAATACAAAATACCTTCTGTTTTGTTACTCTGTGTCTTGCATAGAACGACACAGAGTCACTGTTTTTTCACTTATTAAAAAAACATATATCAATAAACTTTAATATACCTTATTCGGTCAATTAGCTATTTCCTCTCCTGATCACCGGTCCGAGCCAGTTAAGAGAACTTCAGCCAATTCTGATTCCTGGTTGTTTTAGTGCTCCAATACCGCTACTCTGCTAGAAATCAGAAATGTACTCTGAATTTGCTCTGGACAGTGACCACTATGTGAAATGATGTATAAATATTCATTGTGGAACAACAAAGAATGGCCTCAATTTTCAATCTTTGAACACATAAAGTAAGATAAAGAATAAAGTAACATCAGCTTTGATGCATTAATGGGTTTTTGCCCAAATCTGCCATTTGATTGTTGGATTCAAACCTACTGCTTCCATTACAGCAGCAGCTTTTTGGTGATGCATGTGCTACAGGCCTTAGGGGGGAAAAAAACAGTATATGTTTAAACCAGAAATGGTAAAGCAATACTTTCAGAACAATATGAACCAGTATTGGTAAGAAAAATCCTAACCTGTGCATCTGTATCATATGGGGGGAAAAAAAGAAGACCAATATGTGGATTTACCACCAGCATTTTTAAAGGGACATAAAGTAATCTGTTGTACAAAGGGGCAGCTACAACTAAAAACTATCATTTGGTTTGGTCAAAATATGGGTTATTCTGGCAGGATTGGCCAGCTGCTGAATATTCATGGATGTTGATCTAATCTGTGCCAGGCAGACAGCTAGCATTGAGTCAGTGAGCAGACTCCGAACAGTATCCCTCAGTTTCTGCTTTTCTGAACCAGCCTCCCTTTCTAGGTGCCAGGCCACAAATGAATGGACCCTGTGAGCGTGGGCAATGATGCCACAAAAAAACACACACATAGACATCTTCACACAAGGACATAAGGCCTCACTCAGGGATGCCTGTCTAGTCAGAGAAAATATACATTGGCATGCACGCCCATGCAGGCAGGGCATTTAAAAACACATCAGACCATAACAACCTGAGGCTGGGCAGTTGTAAACAAAACAGCTCAGCGGAATAAAAATTCACAAAAAAGTGCTCATTAACAACTTGATTATAATTTCACTGAAAAACATACATAGACATACAACTTTTACCAGGGCTGGCAGCTTTCCATATCATTCCACCCTTCTCATTTGAGAATCCTTGTTCTGCCCAGACATATTGTTTGAGATTATGGAATTAAATCCCTCTGGGAGTTCTCCCTGCTACAGCAGACACATGCTTTCTGCTTTATTCCTCACAGTGACACAGAGCACACTCTCGTCACAGAGCATGAACTAAAAACCAGCTGTAGATGGAGCTAATCTATTTAAACTACAGGAATCAGAGCCGTTTTAAAAATGTACCAACTTCAAAATGCCAAAAATCCTTTTTCTGAGGTTTCCTGGCTTAAGAAAACGAAACTGAGTTTGAAACAACAAATAACTTATGAACACTCTTTGAATAAATTACACTCCGCCACGGCCTTTAGACTTGTGTTTTATAAACTTAAGCTAAACAACCAACGTCCTGACTAATTACACTCAATGTAAATCTGTTTAATAAGTAAAGTATTTAAAGGTACAAAGTTGTCTATTACCATGGATGTTAGGGAAAAAAAATGACTAATGCTCCTTTAGCTGACGCTACAACTACTCCACCCTGGATGTGAAGGGAGGCCAACTCCCCATTATGACTTGAACAAAAGCAACAATAGTTCCACAGAAAGCAACACCCTAACAAGAATTTGTATGATTTCATACATGATTGCAGCAAAAGGGATGAATATGTTACTTGCTCCATAGAAATCTTACTCCCTATGAAAAAAATAAGCTTTGATCAATTTACAGTTGTGCTACTAATAAATATGCAACTTACCAGCATCACAAACACCAGAGTATTGCATAGTACCAGAATTACGGCAATCAATTTAATATCCCTAATGAGCAACCATAAATAAAAGTGCTAATATTATTTTGGGATTTCGTAACCTTAGATATTAGATGAAATGAATTGAACTTAAAAAGGTAATTCTTTATATTCTTAATATTATACTTTTCTCTGGTTATAGCATAATTTCACTGAAAGACCACTTTAATTCATGGCCGATAAAATCTATAGTGTTGACAAGGTTAATATTACCAATATCAAGATTTTAAAAGAGTTATATATATTCCCCTCTCCCTAGATTCCCTTTCAAAATAATACAAAAAACATAAAAGCATGACATATAAAAAGACAATGCTTTCAAATGGTCTAGCCACATCCTATCACCGTGACCTCCACACACTTTTGATAGTTCAGTCGACCAGCCACTCTGTCCTTGATGTTCTATGATGAACGTTAAAAGGTAGAGGTGGTAGACAATTCTCTTTAAAGTATCTTACAACCTAATCTTTATACTAGATAGAATCTTTTAACTATCCTTTGAAAGAAAATCCCCTCTTTTCTTAACCTTTGATGTTTGGGGAACTAGATTCTAGTTCTTAAAACTGAACTTATCCATGTGTTATTAGCTTTCACTATGTTTTATTCAATTTTCTATCCAAACGTTAGTGTTGCTGTTTTGAAAAACTTTGGTTAACCTTTATTTTGTATACTGTAGACACATTTGAATTTGACATTGATACAAAATACAGTGTTAAAAGTTGGGATTATATGTTTAAAGGTCTCATTGCTATAATTCAGACAATAAACAGAGAGGAAACTCAATGGATTTTACAGAGACACCCAATATCCAACATCAATCCTAAAACCAAACACATTTTTCTATCTACCATCAGAATAAGAAGTTTTCAAAGTTCCCAAAATTAAGACTTCTTGTGGAATTCCTTGTATTCAACAAACTTCATCAAAATAATTATACAGAAATTTGGAATTGTAAGTGCAATACCACTTTCTACTTCTGTTATGCTTGTATTCTAGAAAGGAGCATTTCTGAGATGAAAAGATAAGTTATTTGAAATACGGAATTAAAGTTAGGAAATGTCTGTTAAATACCAAAGATGCTTAGAATCTAATTTTCCAGTTATTTACAGTCACATCAATTTGTATTTGTGCTACGTTCATAGATTTAGTAGAAAGTGCATAACTAATCCTAAAGACTTAAACACTGGCTAAATAGTGGTTTATCTATTGTCCAGGGAGGTAGATTTGAAATTATTTGAGTTCTAACCACAGTAATATAAGATATATATGATTGACAGCGAAGTGCTTCTTAAGTTCAGACCAGAGGCAGTGATCACTTTTACTTACACAAAAACATCACAACAGGAAGGGCTGGTTTAAAACCAGTTTTATTGTAATGCCTGCTGGTTGTAGGGCTGTGACTAACGATTATTTTGCTAACTGATTAATCTGTCGATTATTTTTTCAATTAATAATCGGATAGCAAAAGGTTCCTTAAAGAAGACTTTTTACAGAATTAAACCAAGTAAAACAAAAACATTTTCCATGTGTGGAGTACTGCATAAATCATATTGACAGAA